TGTTCCCGCTGCTACATATTAAGCATGACTCAATTTAATAGCAGTCAAAACAGTTTTAGAGAAGTAATAATTTATAAAGATTATAGCTTTTGATATCTTTCAGTCTTTACTGCCTTGTTTCAATTATACAAAGTTGGCTGTCTTTTCATTCAGCTGTACAAAGAAATTCCATTTATATTTACGTAACTCTTATAGTGATTGGTCTGAGGATCCCGCGATAGCTTAATTTAACCTTTAAAAATTGCTTTGGAATAAACAGCTGAACTGCCACATCGGGCAAGCGGTTATTAACAATACAACTATCAATAAAGACAAAGCAGAAACAAAAACCCCTAAAAATACATCCTTAAACGCGATCCAAGGAATTTTTTTTATAATTTTGAGCCAAAATTTCGTCGCTTGATCAGTATGTTTTATACTGATGTTTATATTCTAATTGCATACGAATGAATGGTTAAGAAGCAAGCAATTCAACCATCATAAAAATGTCACACATGGCTACCTCTTTCTGGCGTTTAATGACACACTTAAACTCCATAAAGGGAATTGATATTGAATCAGGGAAAAGTGAAAAAACCGCACAATATGCGGACGGCACTAATACCCGAAAAGTGCTGGGATAGCAATTAACGACGCGTAATTAGCAGACACGTCTGTAACTGTAACTGTGAGGCGCTGTGGCGAACTGTTTAGGGCACCGAGTCTCCGGATCGAGCGGGCTGTTTCTCGCTCGCTAGCTCTGACCGGGACCGTTACGATCAGGCTGCGAGTAAGACACTTTACACACAGTTCCTCTTCTCTTCCAATACTGGGAGGGAAGGGGAGGGGGGAAGTGGAAAGATTCCTAGTTGCTTAATGCTACGAAAACCGGAATACATGTAGGCTCCGGGAAGATGCGGCGCTTTGACCCGAATTAGATTTTACCTTAATAAACACATAGACTGTCTTTTCTAGTTTCAATAAATTCCCATATCAAAAGGGAAGGATACCGTCGCCCTGTTAAAAGTTAATATGTGGTGTGGAGGCTGTGTTTTTGTTTTTACATTCAGTTTTATCAACATCTTTATACGGGTTTCAAATCAATAAATCTTATAGCCGTAATACAGTATGAAATTTGAAGACGCGAAAAACTAAACATTATGCTTTATCAGTCTTTGCATTGGTTCGAACGGAATTAAAACAAGCTTTAAAATCAGTAACATTTCTACTGGCGACAAAATTTGTTTTTCATTAAAAAATGGTTAGAGGGAGTCGCTCTCGGTTCATTTTCCACCCCTTCGAAAGTTGCAGTAAGGTAAAGGAAACTTTTAAATAAGTAAAGTTTTTATCGTCGCCCCAATAACAACGAAACTCTTTGCCTTGGGGACGAATTTTAATTAGTTTAAGCTCCTATTCAAAACATTTTGTGGCCTATTTAATGCCATGGGAAACATTGATAATACAAGTAATGTTCATCAACTATGAGTTCTTTCCGGGGAAAGTTCCATCGTATAGTTTGACATAAAGAGATAAAAGAAAATTGATAGTGACTGAAGAAAGGTCTAAAATTTAATTTATGCCGACAAAGAAAAGTGCTGCATTTTTGTTGGTAGAACAACAAGCTTTTATTTCCCCCTTTGCCTCACAAAAATATTTTACAAAGTTATATATTAATAGAGGTAGGGTCATGACTACCTGAAATAACTAGAGAGTTCAAATGGGTAGGCAGCCAGATCTAGACAAGTTTAGGTCGATTGCTACACACACATACAACACAGAAGATATAGTGAGCACCAAATGGTATGACAACATGTGCCCACATACAACATCAAATCGTTATAAACAGACAACCAACCAGAGACAGCGGTATTGATGAACCATAAATTCCTTGAAGTATTTCGTACGGTAAATAGTGAAGGAAAACGGCGGTATTTTGAACTTAGGACAGCAATCTTCTCTAAAGAGAACCCAGGGAAATAAAGGAACACCTGTATATCCGTTGACCGTCGAATGAAAAATAACTGTCGGAAGATTTTTAGACATATTCCCTAAGAACAAATCAGATTTCCATTATGATTACAATGAAGATCCATTTATCCGCAAGATAGCACTTCAGATCAAAAGGCAAATAACCATTGTACGCTAGGCATATCAGGTGAGTTTGGTCTAGCCATGGTTCGTATTTTAGCGAGATGTACACCCGTAGGCGAGCTAAAATACCCATGGCGAGATCAAACGAACCCGGCATGCCGCTGAAGCGTACCAAAAAAAAGGAAGATTAGGTATTATTGCTCACAAATTCGGCAAGTGAACATGATATCGTAGCCATATCAGGCCTGTGACTTGATATTGTAGGATATCAGGACAGTAGACACGGTTTCTGATTGGCTTATTGCGTATTTGGCTGGGGTAATGAACGAAAGCCGTGAAGAGTTTTGCATTGGAGAGTGTTTGCTCCAATTGATAGGATAAAAGGAAAAATAATAGAAATCTGAAAAATATCTCTAGAGATGTAACTTGTGGCAACTTTCTGATGTTAGCAGTAGTGTCTTAAACATCTTTATGGAAAGTTATAGCGATGTCAGTCAGTTTAATTATCAGACT